AATATTTATATTAATATATTTTTATATTTTTTTAAATAAATAAATTTTATATTGTAATAAAAATTTTAATTTTTTAAAAAATTTAGACAATTTTTTTCGTCCCCTATTGTATAAAATAATTAATATTTGCTAAATAACAAAATTGTTAATTTATTAGAAAGTTTTTTTAATAAACTATATACATATTTTAATATTGATTACAATTCTAAAAAAAAAATTTATTATTAAACAACCTAACTTATTCAATATAATAAAAGTTATTCAAGGTAGTTCTTGATAATTTTTTAATAAGCTTATTATAAATATCAGAGCCACTTATATATTAACAGTAAAATTTTTTATATACTGTATACAGTAAATAATAAATAGATAGTCTTAATTATCTAATTCACATATTTTGAAACTAATTATTTTTATTTACTGTATATTTTATATGTCTTAATATAATGAGCCATATAACTGCAATAATTAAATAAGAAAAAAATTTAGCATTTTTGGCAACTACAAGTTAACACTAAAATTTACGCCATTTTATTGTTAATAATGACATGAAAGTTAGTCTTTCACGTTTCTTTTCGTTCGCCGATCATGCTTAAATTTGATCATCGGTTATTTATTAGAAATCACATGATTGAAATTTCACATCCGGCCGGAAAAAATACTAGTCCGATGCAAATGCTTTATTAATTTTCCTATCAAAAGTATTAGAAGTTTTTGAAATCTTAGAGGGCGATGCCTCAATAGGTGATTCCTTTATACAGGTATAAGTTTTGGTAGAAGGGGAGATCTTTTGTACTGCAAGGTAGTAATCCATGACTCGACTCTGTCATACAAAAATATAGTGAAGTGCGGCGAATACATTAAAACAAATGAAATGCACCATTATCAAGATGTATACCTTAAACATGTAAACTTTTTCGATGACTTCTTTAAGGACATACAGTTGATCTTTTGAGTTTGGAATACTGAACTCCGTTAGTTTATCAACAACATATATTCCTCCATTTGTCCGATGCATGATATAAATCGTAAATGTTCGTTCTAACGTTGATAAAATGAGCATAAGAATTACATTAACTTTAATATAATAAATATTTTTTCAACTTACGATATACTATTATTCCATATGACTCTAAAGAAGTGAGTTGTTTTTCCGTTGCTCCACGTTGTAAATGGTGTTGACGTTGATAGAAAATAGATATCTGCATACATTTAAATACTTTTTCGGTGTCTTCTTTTAGCTTTGTAACGTCGATATAAATAGCACTTCCAACAATTTCTAAGAAACCTATTTCAAAAACAGCAGCATTTACGTTGATTTTATATATCCCGTCTTGGTAACACCCAATTTGAACTCTTTGTTTATATTGCCGGGTTTCATTTCGTTGATTTTTGCTTAATGTATTTTCAACTTCTCCCCTACAAGAAGACACAAACTTTTAGAAACTAATGATGATGAAAATTTTATCCTAATAATAACAAGCTCAAACTCACGTCTTCACTCGAATTAGATCCTTAACGTCATCAAAAACTTTTGCGATTATCGGATTGACGAAATCTTCTCGGTATGAAAGTTCAGTTTGTTCAGAATCACACAATGAATTAATAGGTTCTTGAAAAGGAAACAAACTAAAAAATAAAAAGCACTAGCTTAAATATGCTACTAGTGGAAGTAACAGTAATAATAAAATGTTAAACTTACAAACGTTTGTGTATATCCTGGATCCATATTAGATCAAAATGTTCTTTATGTATAAAAGTGCCTGTATAAGGCTTTGCAAGAACATCCTCGATGGCACTATCTAACGAAATTATGTCAAACACCGATTTACCCTCAAAATGAGCTTGATATTTTTTTAAGAGAGGCTGTAAATCCTTATCCCATTTGTCTTGACGGATCGTCTTTGTTTCACTTGAAGGTTCCAACTATAAAGAATAAGTAAATCACATGAAATGTTAAGCTTACAAGCAAAAATATAATACCGAATTCCAGAACTCCTTTAAAAGGCGCATGTCAGATTTCGGTAACTTATTAACGGGATCTGAGACATCTCGTGCCGAAAGATTTATAACCCGATATTCAAAGAGACGACATTTGATATGTTTTATTTTGGAGATAATTTCACGGATTTCTTTCGTTGCATTCTGCGAAATCCATGAGAATAAGAGACCAGATGAGATACGTTGTAATTTTTAAGTTATGCAAACAAAGTGACTACCTCCTGAGATAATTGAATAATTTTTATGTAAGCATCTTCGTTATCAACTTCGTAATTTTGCATTCGTTCTATTGTCCGTAAGTTAACTTTTTCGTGATCGAAATTGGAATAAGTGGAATCCGAATCCGAAAACTCTTGACCATTTGATCTTTCATTACTGCTCTGTTGCTGAACGAAACCATCTGACGAAAAAATTTGATGTGGAGGAGTATGTTGTGGTTGATCCTTAGTCTGTTCGTCCTAAAGTGTTAAATACCAAATAATTGGTTCTGATTCTCAACTTCTAGCCAAAAAAAATGAACATACTGTATGTGCCTTTTTTGTTCCTAAAGTTATATTATTACCCATGACTTGGGTTGCGTGGTTTCCAGCGAACTGATTGATCTTCTTTACTTGCAAACTCTCAATATTCACGCCACTGGAACGCTTCAGGTTTTTCTTCTGCGTAGACCATTTCTTAAAAAACAAAATAAACAATAATACTTGCGAGAAGAAATTTCATAATAAAAATATAAAGAAAAAGAAACGTCGAACTAATAGCTATCCTTCAGACCAGCAGTCCCAGCTTGCGCTAAGCGTCGAACAAGCAGTTCATCACTGGAGACCAGCAGTCCCAGCTTGCGCTAAGCGTCGAACAAGCAGTTCATTACTGTTGGACTAAGCTCTTAGCTCTCTCAATCCCTATCTCATTATCGAACGTACCTTCCAATCGTCGAGGATCTCCCGAGCCTTTCTTTTGCGCGTTATTTCAAATTCAGAATTTGGATCCGCTACCACTTGAAGATCCTTTTTTATGCAATCCATTATCATTTTCAGATTCCTTTTTCCCGATTTCGCATGATAATACTCAACCATATTAACGCATGTCCAGTTCTCGATCGCGGTATCATTATAAAAAGCCTCAATAATGGGCATCGATTTTGTAGACATGTTCAGCAAAACAAAATGTTCCGTTGATTTTAGCAGCGTAAACGCGTTGATAATTAGATAATCAGGCGATCCCGTGATATTCGTATAATGCCGTTTTATTGGAAGAAGTGTGATGCAAATCACGTGGAAAATGGAATCACAGTAGAGTTGCGCAAATTATATGAAGTTCCCTATAAACTGACATTAAGCTTTTAAAATTTGGGTGATTATATAATCAATATCATCTTGAGATAAATTTAGAATAGTAGATGCTGTCAATTCTTTAATTAGTTTTTTCAATGTTGGTGAGTCTTCTTTTTTAGTTGGCTTCTTAGCTTTTTTGCTATAGGAAGTATTATTGGTAACACACTTGTGTGGTAGGATAGTTATATTAGATGATTCTTCAACATGATGTTCTGTTTCTTCATTTTTATCCAGATCCATTGCTTGAACCTGGGAGGAAGTTCATGGGATATCGATCTTAACATTATGGGTGAAGTCATCAGCTATGGTCGAAGTGCCACTTATTTGAGAAGATATAGAGTTCATCTTTGATGTTCATCAATAACCTCTATGCTTCTATCACAATTGGAAAAGGGACATGTACTTGGTGATATAAACAGAATTTTTTTCTCGATATTTATTCTGTGAAATATGTGTCCACAACCATTGAGAACAGTAAATGATTTATATTTAAATGTTAAAATTTTCTTGTTACATATTGAGCATAGTGGTAGTTCTACAACATGAATTTTGGTCGATTTTTTCACCCATCTCCTTTAAAATACTATATGCAAGGATTCTAAGACTGAAGAGAGACACAATGATTAAGATTTAATCGAGTAACGAGATTCCTACCTGTTTTTATATCCACTTTGGTCAATATTATAGACCATATTCATTGATATTCCTGGATGATAGTCTAGAATAAATCTTAGTAATAATCTCAAATGAAAAAATGATTATTATCACACATAAAATTAATTATACCATTTAAGTCTGATTGCTTTATTAATACAATATAAAATACATGTGAGGCAGGAAAATTATCTACCTATTACTTTTTGATAATCTTTTTGATTCTGCCCTTTTATTTACTGGGGAACTCTCAGCTGCTATCCGATCCTTCAACAATAATACGATAATTCCAGTTATCTTTTCATACTATTTTGAAATAAATAAAGATTTTCTTTGATCGCAGGTTTTGTAATAAAAATATGATACTTGCTATTATGTATATATGATGAAGTGTCATTCCATGATTAAAAATGAACGTGATTATTAGCAAAAGATCACATGATAAAAAAGTGAGACCTAAAGTCTTACCTGAGTAATAATCTAGTAAAATTTTCTGCATATCCATAGATACGATCCCATAGAGGTAGTCAAAATATTTGTTACCAAATGCCTCATCTGCCATCCGTTTCTTCTTATTAGTCTGATATGCACTTTCGAGTTATGCTAGATTTTGAGCATATCCAATCTTGATGTTACACAGTTTTTCTTCCGTAATATAATGTAGGTCCTCCAACCCCTTTATTGACTTGTCCCATTAACTCTTCACCAGAAATATCCTTTTGCAGTACTATAAAGATATCTTGGGTAGTAATTCGCTTAGCGATATCGACCGATACATGTAGAATTGTTGAAATCTCGTTGATAATTTCAGAATTATATTATCCATGCAGTGGTTGAATGCTTTGTTATTATCATCTATTTTCTCGAACACTAGAAAAAAAAAAAATACTATATGATTAAAATTTCGATGACACAAATCACTAAAAAACATCAAGAAAATAATGTATCACTTACCGGATATGAAATGTTTGATACTCTCTTGAAAAAACTTGAAATACGACTCCTTAAGCTTCAAGTCCTTCTTCCGCAAATATTCGATTAACTCCTCTGTATGTATAGAAATCCTTAGCTACATCGGCCATAATGCGGGTAGAAGGTGAAGACATATTATAAGTTTTATATTGGTATATGGTATTAATTTTTATTTTTTGGCAGTTTATTTGAGATGGAAGTTACATAATAGTTACGCAAATAGGATTATGATACATATGTAACAAATGTTAATTTATTTTATGAAAAAAAAATATCATGAAGGTGGTGACTGATGCAAATAACAAATTTGCAAATACATTATTATTATATGAAAAACTGTGTAACATCAAGATTGGATATGCTCAAAATCTAGCATAACTCGAAAGTGCATATCAGA